TATGTGAAATGATCATTGGTCAATTATGAAACCAGCCTATTTCATAATTTGGTTTTCTTTTAACAATAATTTTAGATTTTCTATAAAATGATATTCCAGGGCCCAACAGGTTATATAGCATAAATATGTGAAGTACACCTGCAGTATGGAAACAGTACAACAAAATGGCCGTTTTACACTTTTTTCCAGTAAATTCCTCTCTATATATTCTATTCTCTATGCCTGAAACTTAAGACTGAGTATCGTAATGAAACCCTGTTTCATTTTTTGCAGTTAGAAATAATATGTTATGTGGTTTCTAAACATTCTTTTTTGTTTCCTGATTTCTTAAAATAAAATCTACGCAAATGCATAGACCCCAATCCAAAAAGGAAACTCGGGAGTTTTGTTGAACGATAGATACTCTTTAGAATTTAAAAACTTAAAGTTTTTTCCTTTTGTAAAATTTTGAAAATGCGCGAAGAAATATTATGAAATCAGCAAACTTTTTTGTTCGTTTTTGTTTTGTATTGTACAAAAAAAGTTGCTTACAGATAAAGCCACAATTAAAAGTTAAAATAGAAGATGGGCGCGAAGCTCCCTAATAGCCTTGTTTTGTATATTTTCTTTTTTGTCAAACTCACTAAAAATGATCAAGTTTCAGGTTGAAAAACAAGAATATATTTATCATTTTTTGTGTAAAGGGTAGGATTAAGAATTCGGCATTTAAATCCTTTAAATGGATCGGGTCACTGAAATTACGCCATCAGTCCCATACAAATCAATAGATATAAACATGGTAAATTCGAATGTTTGATATGTTTAGTATATAACGTGAAACAAGAGAAAACCTTAAAATAATTTGTTCTCTCACTTTAAGCTAAACAAATCATAAAAACACAGACAAAACTTGAAACAAAAACTTGAACAACTCTCTAAGTAAAAAGAAGAAATTATTCACAAAGTCTATGAATATGTGCATTTTTCTTCGATGCATGATCGCCGAAGGCATGTAAATATTTGGAGAAGAATTCCCCCCCTCTTAACCACCCTCCTCCACTTTTTTTCTTAAAATCCTTATGTTCACAACCATTGAAATTTTAAACATTGACTTGCTGACCTAGCAGAATTCATAATTTGAAATATCCAAGGTCTACGAAATCAGGTTGCAAATATATAGGTATTAGATATTAGTCAATTGCATTAAGTGTAATATTAAGTTACAAATTTGATGAGAGAATAAGAAAAAGAATAAAATATTTGAGGTCCAAAATATGCATTTATTAAGTTTTGAGAAGAGGCCTGGATTCTAGTTATTTTGCTGCAGTGCAGCAACGTTTAACTTTACTTTACTTGAGAGAAGAAAAATAATACAGAATACACAATACAGAGTACAGAATACAGAATACAGAATACAGAATACAGAATACAGAATACAGAATACANACAGGTAGACAGGTAGACAGGTAGACAGGTAGACAGGTAGACAGGTAGACAGGTAGACAGATAGACATGTAGACAGGTATACAGACAGACAGATAGACATGTAGACAGGTAGACAGGTAGACAGATAGACAGGTAGATATGTAGACAGGTAGAGATTTAGACAGGTAAACAGGTAGACCAACAGAAAAGTAGACAGGTAGATATGTAGACAGGAAGACAGGAAGACAGGAAGACAAGAAGACAGGTAGACAGGTAGACAGGTAAACAGGCAAATATGTAGACAAGTAGACAGATGTGTGTATATATATCTATCCATATTTTACATCTATCTATTTTTCTATCTATCTATCTATCTATCTATCTATCTAGGCTGGTGAGCTGGGCTGCCTGTGTATGCTCTATGCTGAGAATGGGGCAATCATCAAGGAGAATGAGATGAAAGTGTTGAAGGCAGGTGTGGAGGGACCTGAAGGACATGCTCTAGCACATCCAGAGGAAGCACAGGTAGAAACTTAACAATTATGCTTCCTCTATGTTTTCATATGTAGGACACAGTTTACAATAAAGACGGAAAATAATGACTTTTTATGTCTTATTTTATAACTGTATTTTTAATATAAGAATATTGTCAAAATTAAAAAGGAATGAAATTAATTGATTTCAGAAAACCGTAAATTATGAAGAATTTATAAGACAATCGCGATTTGCAACTTCAACAAACTAATCAATTTGTCCTAAAACCTTAATTTTCTAAACTCAATATCTTTTGCAATCTAATGGTGTTAACTTTTAATATTTCAAACACTTTGACTTTAACTGATCTCGCCCTGAATGCATTAATTTAAAAAGGGGTATTAGAAAATTAAAGGCAAAGTGTTCAGTTTCTTTTCTTGAACTTTTTAAATTGATCCATTTGAAAATACAAATGGGTTGATTGGTAGATTGGTTGGTTGATTTATTGATTGATTGTTTAGACTGAGGCTGTAATGCGAGGCTGTGTGCTAGGTAATACAACTGATTGTCCGATCTATCTGGAGAGTTTAATGAGCGGAGCTGCAGCAGATATTCTTCGCAAACGAAAGGAAACAAAGTATTCAGAAAACAACACATTAATCTCAATTGAAGGGGATAATTCATCCGGTTTACTGGTTTAGGCTTCTATATTCTTTATGTATGCTGGAGTCAGAACTTTTCAATCTTAGGATCAAGAATGGATTTCAATCATACATACGGATTAATTTAATTCCTCCTTGACAGCCTATGGTGTTGATACCCTGCAGGGAAAATTTTAATGGAGGGATCAAGCCTTAATTCCCACCTCTGTACTAATTGCTCCATATTCCCTTGACACGTCGGTATGAAACTTTAAATGAATCGTATTTTCCAATTGATGATTCCTAAATTAAGGCTATCTCTGCAGGGTGTGAGCACGTCACAGGATATTGAAGAGAAATTGAATCAATTGTGATGAGTTGCAAAAAATGGAGATTCATAACAAAAATTTATAACAGAAAAGTTCTGATTGCTCAATTTCATTTAAAATTCTTTTTACATTTATTATTTGCAATCTAGCTCAAATTTCTGAACAATCCCTTTTTCTTGTTAGTATTAAAGACTGTGAACATGAATAATTTGTGTTTAATCAGGAGAAAGGCTATGTAGTAGTTGGCGAATCTACAGCAGCAGCTCTAGCTGTAGATGGAGCTAACTACTGGCATAAGTCATGGAGTCACTCCGCCGCACATGTTTGCACTCCGCCTTTAAGGGAAGGGGAGGCGGATAATCTAGTGAAGGCGGTTGAAGACGGATCCCTGGATGTTATCAGTTCCCATCACAGGGCATACAACAGTAAGCAGAAAGCACTTGGTAACAAAACCTTTGTTGAGATCCCAGATGGAGTTCCCGGGGTTGAAGAACGACTCATGGTGCTCTGGACTAAAGCTGTAGTTCCAGGACGTATCTCCAGGTCCCAGTTCGTATCCCTGGTCTCCTCCACCCCAGCTAAACTACTCAATATCTACCCACAAAAAGGACGGATTGAGGTTGGATCTGATGCTGACATTTTAATCTGGGATCCAGAGCAGACTAGAACTCTGTCCAAGGCGGAGCACGGTTCCAAGTCGGATTTCAGTATCTATGAGGGACTGGAGGTGACAGGAGTTCCTGATTTTGTTCTGTGTCGAGGTCGACTGGTTAAGGATCAGGAGATTTTCAGACCAATGCAGGGGTTCGGGCTCTACAGGGAGCTGGAGCCCTTCAGCCCCTTCATCTTTGACAAGATGCAGGAGAAAGTGGAAAAAATGAAGGTAAAAATATTTTTCTTTTTTATTTAAAAATCAGATTCGTTTTCAAAAATGATTCAAATGCCTGTGTAGTGTTCAATAAAATGTCCCTTCTGGAAAAATCTCGATAAATATTCTGATGTGAAAGACTAAGCTGATTTTTACCCAGTTATTGTAATAGATTCCTTTATTATTGCTTTATTATTGTTTGAAGCAAACATTTTGAGTGATTTTAAAGTCTTTAGTATTTTTAGTTTTGTTTCTTTTTTCAGAAAGGACTTAAGTCTTGAACTTTTCATTTTCTAATTCCTATATCTTTGCAATCCAATGTCGTAAACCTTGGATATTTCAAACTATCAAATAATCTAAGTTTAAAATTTCAAAGATTTACACTTTACACCGTCAGGTTGCAAGGATATATGGATTAAAAAGATATATTTTGTGGCAAAGACTCAATTTCATCGCGTATAATATGTTCATTTCTAATAGGTGAACAATCCTTTTAATGTTCTAGATTGTTCGGAGGATAGTGCGGAGGGATGAGGAGGATATGCCGAGGCTGAATGGTTCAACCCCGGAGGAGATCCCGCCTCCAGAACCTGTAGAGGAAGAGAAGCCAACCAGTCAACACAGATCAAACTTCGATCTTAACTCTCATCCCGATACACCAGACTTTGACGAGGTGAGAGCCTCTCCTTCAAGAAGCTCTGTTCGTGTACGGGCGCCTCCTGGCGGCAAATCTTCAGGATTTTGGTAGATTTATGTATCGTGACAACATGATTTTGGCTGATTTCTGTCACATGCCACCAAAATTTAGGTAAATTCATGTCATGTGACGGTCGAATTCGGTAGATTTCTGTTAAGAAACAACATAATTTTGGTAGACTTTTGTCACGTGACAACATCATTTTGCTGGATTTCTGTCACGTGACGCAAGAATTCTGGGAAATTTATGTCACGTGACAACAGAATTTCGAAGATTTTGGAAAATGTCTTTTGCCACGTGAAATATTAAAATTTACTTTACACATACATTATTCATACCCTTAAATTATATATATAGTATAAGTCCAAGTTTTTTTCGCATTACTGCCTGTAGATTTTCTCAAAAAAGGTTGAGGAGAGGGGGGGGGGGTGCTATATGTTTATTTAATGTGCCGAAAACGTGCTACTTTCCTTATTTTTATACTTCTGCTTTTATCTAGTTTAAGTATAGGGAGTTCATACACTTAAATAATTAAATCTAAAATTTCTCATTTATATCGGAAAACTTTAGTTTTTAATCATTTATTCAAATTTTCAGCTCTTTTTTATATCAACTCTACTGATCTTTGTAATTTCAATGCATTGTACACAGGGTTTCAATCGGAATTCTGTTGCGCGGAATTGCGTGGAATTAAAGAGCTTTCAATAGCACGAAAGTAAAATTCACTTATAATAATTGTACAGTTTTGCAATTATCAAATTATAAGAAGCTCGAAAGGTGGGAGGGGGATTGGTAGGTTTTTAGTATTTTAACAGCCTTTTCCCTATACATGAAGTGTATCGTTAAAAGCTCGATTTTAAAGGACAATTCTGAAACCAAAAATGCAATTTTTTAAGCTTTTTTATTCTATAAACTACGCATATTTTAAATATTTGTATGTAAGAGTTTCTGAAAAACTTCCCCTGCACAATTTTAACAGTTTTTAATTTAAGAAAAAGTTGAATAAAGACAAATTTACAATATGTTTTTAAATTTAAAATTTTTTACAATTATGTCATGGATTTTATACACTTTTGTAGTGCTAAAGCACAGTTACGCATTCAGTATTTTTGAACCAAAAATGTTTTTTAAATATTTTTTTATGTACTCTTGTTTTATTTTACTTATTTCTCACCCTAATTATTTGCTAGTCTAAAAATATTAATCATTTTGTTAACCTTTTTTAACCTAGTTTACTAATTTATTTCTTTAAAATTGAATCTTTTGACTGAATAAGTTTTTATTTGCACGTTTAATTGAATGTTTATGTACTAAAATCATAAGTATCGAAAATATAATAAATGTTAAAAGAAAAAATATTTTAAAATTTGAGATTTGAAGATATTGATAGTTTTCAAAATTCTGCTCTTCTAAAAATGTATGAGGTTTAAGTGACGACCAGAGACGAGAATCTCTGAATAAAGGCTGTACAGCGTACAGTGTACAGTGTAGAGCAGTTTGCAGTGTACAGTGTAAAGTGTACAGTGTACAGTGTACAGTGTACATTGTAAACTGCATACATGTACACTCTTACTGTGCAAGTACCTCTTAAAGAGAACCCACAGGTGTTAATAGGCGTATATATAATTCATCAGACAAAGCTTTTAAGGGTACTGATGCAAATCGGATATTCCATGCTCTATCAATGGAGAGTCACATGAAATCACTTTAAAAGACCCTTTAAGAGAGAAAGAAACAAGTTTACAGGTGCACTGCAAGAAATCTAATGCTTTAAACTTCTTAATAACTATTTATCTACTTCCGGTCATAAACCAAACTTGGCCTGGTATTTTTAGAAAACATATTATGAAGGAAAAACTTGGTTGTTCTTCTCATTCTGTCTGTGTCAACTGTGGTATAATATACAGAATTCTGCCTGTGTCAACTGTGGTATAATAGACAGAATTCTGTCTGTGTCGTCTGTGTCAACTGTAGTATAATAGATAGAATTCTGTCTGTGTCGTCTGTGTCAACCGTAGTATAATAGACATAATTCTGTCTGTGTCAACTGTGGTATAATAGACAGAATTCTGTCTGTGTCAACTGTGGTATAATAGACAGAATTCTGTCTGTGTCAACTGTGGTATAATAACAGAGATAGGTGTCGTCGTTTTTTCCGTTCCTTACTTACTTACTTGTTTTGAAGCATTTTGATATTTTAGCTTTTAGGAGGCTTCACAAAGATTTGGAAAGTATAACACACTATAAAATTGTATGTTCTTAATGTTAGCTTTCATTATATTATGAAACTATTGACACTGACAGAAGATTTATGTCTGATCGATTTTTCGAATCGCTCGTTATTGAACAACATATTTGTCTTCAAAAATGTTGCATAATCTTTGGGGGGTAAAACACCTTGATTGTTTAAAAACGAAAAAAAAACCGATATCCATCTCTAGGTGTAGCTGTATTAATCCCCATCTCTAAGTAAAGATATTGATATTCATCTCTAGGTATAGGTATTGATATCCATCTCTAGGTATAGATATTGATATCCATCTCTTGATATATATATTGATATCCATCTCTAGGTATAGATATTGATATCCATCTCTAGGTATAGATATTGATATCCATCTCTAGATATATATATATATTGATATCCATCTCCAGGTATAGATATTGATATCCATCTCTAGGTATAGATATTGATATCCATCTCTAGGTATAGATATTGATAAACAATTGTGAACCAATCAAAAGGGTATGAGCTCGAAATGGGCGTAAATGGAGCTAAGGAAATGCAACTCGAGATAGCGGAAACTTCGGTCGGGTATATGTTTCCTAAGTAAGCTTCTCTAGGGATGACAAATCCAAAGGCGAATAGGCTGGATAAACAACTCCCATACTCAATACGTACATAGACGAGAACTTCTTGATGATAAAAGTATATTTCAGTAACGAGGTTTCCTACAAAAATACAAATTGTTATTGACGTACATGTATATAGATAATGATTGTTAATAAAGATTAAACCAGTTGGGTGTAACTAAAATACATGAGTATTGTTGTAAACGAACAATTGGTTAAAGAAATGTATCATTGAGAATTGAACAAAGGTTTAAATGTATTGTTGTGAATCGGCAAATAAAAAGGTTTAAAAGGTTTAAAAGATACTATTACGAATTAAACATAAGGAACTTACGATCTAAAATTGTATGGTACGGGAATAGTTGTTTGAATTGTAGTCTAAAGCAATTTTTAATCTTCTAAAATAAATATTCATTTGGTTAAAGTAATTTCACATTTTGTTCGTAAATGATTCACTGGAATTATGTTTAAATTGTTTCTTTTTAATGCACTTTAAGTTTTATTAGGTCCATGAGGCTTTTGTTTATATTTACGCGGAGACCTTGGAAATGTTTGGTTTGGAAAGTGAACGGAGGGTTTAACGGAGGTACAATTTGTTAGAGACGACCTTACAACAGAGTAAATTATGGGGTATGGTTCACAACAATACATACAATAATTATTGCAAAAACACAATACAAACAAATTTGAATGCATTGGAATTATTGATAAATAATTACTATGAAAAGAATGCATAATCTATGTAAATTATGCAGAATTATCTCATTTTCTCATTGTTTAAAACATGCTTGTTGATTGATTGGGAAGCGTAGTTCAATCATCTCAAAAACCTGATAGGAAATGCATTTGGGAAAGTTTTAAAGTAAAAATCATTTACTCTCAGAAAAATTAAAACCAATGGAAAGTAATTGAGTTTTGCCACAAACTCTAGTCCCTATATCTTTGCAACCTGTCTTAGACCTTAGATATTTCAAAGTATGAATTCTGTTGAATTAAATAATCTAAGTTTGAAATATATAAGGTTTGCACCACCAGGTTGCAAAGATATATGAATGAAAACTTTTTAGTTTGTGGCAAAAACTCAAGTCCTTTAAATTTAAAAGTAAATGACATTTCATTTAAAAGAGCAAAGATGAGATTTTAAAAGCTTAAACCCGAGAAAAACCAGACTCGGGCTAAAATATAACCCAAGTTAAGATTGGTTCTGATTTGATTCTCTCTGTAGGAGATTGCCGTCATGGATTAGCTGTGACAAGGAGATGTAAATTTCGAAAATTCGAATACATTATTTTCATAGTATGTTAATTTCATATCTTTGATCAAATTTGACACTACAAATAATTCTCAAGGCCATCCAAAACCCGGGTCTTCGCTTGAGCTTTACTTGGGTCTAAGCAGTCGCAAAGACCGGGTTTTACTCGAGTTTAAGCTTTTAAAATCTCATATTTGGTTTTAACATGGACCTGCATATATAGTTGTTAGATTAGCAGGATTCAATGAAAAATGTTGCAACTAAAAACTAGATTTTTATAAAAGAGTGTTCTATTGATGTTCTCACTTTTATTGAATTTTTAGGGAGACTGCCAATGTTATGTTCCCGATTCCCAACGGAACCATTAACATCTTTATTCATGTAGGTTTGGAAGAGATCTTGGCTGCTATGAAAAGTTCACTTTAGTATTAAAGGGAGTGACCGGCTATGTAAGGTAGTTGAACTGAGTATGCAGTGTTGTGAAAAACTTCTTTCGGATTCATTTGAGACATATTAAACTTTTTAAAGATCTGTAAATCCTGAGTTTGAGCGCAAATTCAAGGTTCAAAACTCCTACTTTGGGAGTGGATACTCCTTTACTGTATCCCATAAAAATTAAAATTATAAAACACTTGTTTTTAGCTTTAGTTTATAAGAAGTGATTGGCAAAATTCTCTTCGTTTTTTTGCACGAGAGCTTGCAACATTTAAATCATACGTTTTTCTATCTTAAAGGGACTGTAAGCATAATTTCAAGTGACCCTCCATGTAAAGTTGACAATTCTGATAATTTCTCCTGCTTCTTATAAACAAAAAATACGCAAGTCACTTATGCAGAGAAACAGCAAATGAAAATAAAAGATTGATATCTAATTTATACTTTATCAGACAAAGCTTTTAAGAGTATACTGTTGTAAATCGGCCTTGGCCATCTTTGCATGAAGGCTTACTGAAATTTACGCTTACAGTCACTTTTAAAACATATAGAATTTGACTTCTTAAGACTTTAATTCCCCCGCTTTTTCCTAAATCCCTGATTGGATATCCTGAAGAAGACAAACGGGGATAGTTGTGAATCGGACACTGGAATGGATGCTCACTAAAAATACGTCACTTTGATTATTATATGGTTTCTTAAACTATCCTCAAATATGTTCTATTCCCCCCCCCCCTGGTACAATCGTGCATGACAGGCTGGAGATATGGTTTACACTAAATTTAACTTGTTTGATCAGAAGCAGGTGTATTTGTAGCATCATAGATAGATGAATCATATGATAGATTCAACATTTTCAATCCCAAATTCTTAATCATTCGCCTGGGAGTTGGGGCCGAATTTAATGAATTTGATCTACGTCGTTAAACTATGCCTAATCGGTGATTCAAATTTGAACCGGCGGTAGGTGGTTCTGATTCATTAAATTCAGCTCCTAAAATGATAATCATAAGCCACCATCAAGTCCTGAATTTTGAATCATGAATCTAATTTTACACTGAATCTTTAAACCCAAATCACAAGGTTGATTTTGAACGATTTTGAACGTCGACTTTGCGCCCAAACTTATTAATTATAAATCATAAAAGTTTTATATGTCTCTAACGAATCCTAAAAAATTTCTTAAAAATACTACATTCTCAGTTCAACTACCATACATTGCCGGTCACTCCCTTGAAAAATAAATATGGGGACAGGAAGAAAATAAAAGTTTTTGCCATCCCTAGTTCAACTAATTCTTATTCTTTCATAAATTTCCATCTCCAAACAAATGTAAGAAAAGAAATATTTTAAAGGATTTGATTTTTTGTCACAAACTCAGATTTTCTAATTTGCAATCAAATTTCGTAAGCGTTAGACATTTAAAACTATAAATTCTGTTAGATCAATTAATCTAAGTTTGAAATATCAAAGGTTTACACCATCAGGCTCCAAAGATATAGGGATTAGAAGATTTGAGTTTGTGGCAAAGACTCAATTCATTTAAAGGGTCTGTAATTTCCTGTGGCCCTGCAAAGATGGCAATGCCCGATTCACATCGAAACCTTTTGAGGCTTTCTCTGATCAAGTATGAAATATATATACATTTTTAGTATTTAGAAAGCTGATTATTTTTGAATTGTGGTTTCTCTACAAAATTGATCTGCGCATTATCAAAATAAAAACTTTAAAACTTGATAAACAATATTTTCCTTATTATTGATAATTATTGATATACATAAAGGTTTCAATGGTACCGTTGTGAATCAGGCATTAC